TTGGCTTATGCCTTTCGTGTTCTCCACAATTCTCCAATAAAACAAGATGTAGACAAAGGACACGAACATAAAGGAGAGGATAAACAGAGCCCTGAGCTTGTGGGTCAGCACCACCCTGGTCAGTTTTAGCAGGCAGCTGGGCATCGTGAGAATTCGGGCTCCCATCAGAGCCTGCTTTTCTGAGTCAGCCATCGTGATCTGAAAGGAAGGAAAGAACAAAAAGACACTGATATATGAGGCAGCAGACTATGAGCCTTCTTTAATGTATCTGTACCATCTTCATCTGTACCATGTGGTACCATAGTGGTACCACACCATCTTCACAGACCTCATCTATCACCATCATATCTATCATACTGGGAGAATGAAGACCCTGAGCCCATTGTAGAAGAGGATCAGGTTCGTGACCACTGAAGAATTTGCATGTGCATAAGTCCATGTGACCCAATGAGATCCATCCATGGGTCCTGAGTGAGTTGCAGATGAAGTTGCTAAGCCACTATCCATTATTTTTGAAAAATTGTGGCAGTTAGGTGAAATCCTTGAGAACTGAAAAAGGGAAATATAACCCTCATTTTTAGAAAGGGGAAAGCAGAACACCCAGTGAACTATAGACATGTCAGTCTCACCTCTGTGCCAGGCAAGATCGTGGATCAGATTCTCCTGAAAACTATGCTAAGGCACATAGAAAAAGAGGTGATTGGTAACATCCGACATGGATTTACAAAGGGCAAATCATGGCTGAGAAATCTGGTCACCTTCTATGATGTGGCTACAACATTGGTGGATAGGGGCAGAGCAACTGACATAGTCTGCAACACTATGGAGTGGCTCTAGAGAGAGAGGCAGCCCCTACATGAATCATCAGCTCTGGATTCCCAGAACATTTTCGTCTCCTGCACAAAAATGCCAGCATGTGCAGTCAATGTTATAGGCAGCAAAAATCATCCCACCCTGCATTGTACACACCTATTTCCCCTCCCTCCACCCCACAGCTGGTTGAATCCTGTAGATCATTTTTAAGCTGTAGAAGAGAAACGATACAGGCTTGAGAGGGCAGAGCCTGTCCTGTAGAGAAGGCAGGGAAGTGTGACTCTATTCTAGTAAAGGACAGAACCTTACTGCAACTGAACTTCTATATAGTTAGAAATAGATTTCTCCATTTCTCCTTTTGTAGTAGCTAAGACATTGTTTTAGACGCTGCGTTAGCCTGTCCATTTCTTTCAGAAAATAACACAGGAAGTCTGGCTCTCTGTCTTCCTCTGAAATTCTAAGGGTCATTGCACAGAAACTACAAACACTACTCACCTGCCCCTGTTTTCTAGACATCACAGATTTCGCTGCTCAGCCGGAGAAGATTTTTAAGAGGTGAGTGTCTCTGAGAGATCCTATAACTCTGTGGTTTGGCACTTCCTTCTTCTGAAAAGAAATGGTGAGAAATGGAGTCTGAACACAAGGGGAAAAACAGCAGATGAAGGAGGATGTTACATCATATATTCAGCTAGTGAATAGCTAATATAAAGGACATATGGCGCGCTGCAAAGAACCTGTCTAATCAAGAAAAAAAAGGAGGAAATTGAAACCCCGTTGTCAATACACATTAACCTTCATACTGTGGCAGGAAAAGGATTGGTTTTCAAGGAATCACAGAACATTCTGAGTTGAAAGGCACCCATGATCTCCTGAGTTGGATGGGACTCCCTTGAGCTCGGTCAGGCTTGGTGCTGTGACCACAGCCCTGGGGAGCTGTCCTAGTGCCCAACCACCCTCTGGGGCAAGAAACTTTTCCTATTATCTTACCTAAACCTCTCCTGCCAACTTCAGGCCATTCCTTCGGGTCCTGTCACTGGTTGCCAAAGAGAAGAGATCAGTGCTGCCCCTGCACTTCCCCTTGTGAGGAAGTTGTATACAGCGATGAGGTCTCCCCTCAGACTCCTCTTCTCAAGCCTGAACAAACCAGGTGGCTTCAGCCACTCCTCATATGGTTTCCTCTCATTGCCCTTCACCATCTTTGTTGTAACATGGCTTTGTTTTCTACTCTTTTGCTCAAAATTATCAGTGCTTGCTCTGCCATGATAACTGAGCTGACAATTTCAGAGAGCTGCCTGCTCCCACCCTAAGACATAAGCTCTGAATGCTCCTTTGAAAACACTCTCTTTCAACCAAATAATTTACTCATTCATTAGGGAGTACTCCCTCTTATGCCAGGTACAATCTAATCTATTCTAGTAAACGACGCAACCTTACTACAATAGCACTTCTATAGACTGCAAACACTACTCACCTGTCCCATTTTCTAGACAAATTTCACTGCTCAGCTGGACAAGATTTTAAAGCAGTTAGTGTCTCTGAGAGCGGTTTCAACTGTCTGGGCTGGCTCTTCCTTCTGAAAAGAAATGGTGAGAAATGGAGTCTGAACACAAGGGGAAAAAACAGCAGATGAAAAAGGACATGACATCATACACTCAGCCGGTGAATAGCTGATATAAAGGTCACATAGATGTGCCACATAGAAAATGTCTAGTTATAAATTAAACAAGAAAAAAAAAGGAGGAAATTGAAACCCCATTCTCACTACACATTAACCTTTATACTGTGGCAGGAAAATGGTTTTATTTTCCTTTGTTAAGAATTATCAGTGCTAGCTCTGCTTGTGTGGCTGCCACGATAACTGAGCTGACACTTTCAGAGAGCTGCCTGCTCCCACCCCAAGACATAAGCTCTGAATGCTTCTTTGAAAACACACTCTTTTCAATCAAATAATTTACTCACTCATTAGAGAGTACTCCCTCTTATGCCAGGTACTTCATTGAATGACCTTGCCATATTCAGGTGTCCTTCATTTCACAGCAGAGCTCCCCCTTGCCCCTGTGGTCAAGGGTGGCTGACTGTCCATTATACATGGCATGTTGGTGTGTTCATAAAATCTCACCTATATCAAGTACAGCCTATTGCTTGGTAACTTCCCTGACCCCTCTCCAACTCTTTCCATGCACTGCAGCACCATGACTGGACACATGAGATGTCAGCACTGGGGACGCTCTTTGGAAAGCACCTTAAGCTATTTGCAGTTCTTTCATCCATGGAGCTCTCCAGGCCTCAGGTCAGGGCCAAGCTAGTCCCAGAATCAGAGAAAGGTTAGGGTTGGACAGCACCTCTGGAGACCATTTGTGAACTCCTCTGCTCAAAGCACAGTCATCTAGAGTGGGCTGCTCAGGACCATGTCCTCTTAGCTTTTGACCTTGTCCCAGTATTTAATTGATACAGCTTATGCCTAGGCAACTAGGAGATTTAGCCTATGAAGCTAGATAGACCTGCAAATAAATGAAAAATTCCAGGAAAGATTGTGCAAAGGGATCGTTTAGCTATTAGCAAATACATCTGCTGAGCAAAGAGGAGAAGAGGGAGAATAGAGTGCAATAGAAATAGAGGCACAGGCGTCAGATTTCATTTTGCCTGAAATTTTGCAAGCATAAAACTGAAAAAGAGAAGCCAAATGACCCCTGATACCCAGGTACTCACTGATCACCTGTCCAAAGGGACAAGGATGAGCAATCACCTTTGTGCTGGAGCTCATACTTGACGTTAAATACGCTCTCGGTCTTGAGAACCAAGCTGCTTTCTCCTTAGCTGGCTCACCTGTGGAGTGCAGGGAGGCAGGAAACCCAGTTCCTATGCTGTGAGGAGAAGCTAAACTGATGAGCAGGAAGTTGCTGATGTAGAAAACAGGAGCTTAGAAATTGCATATTTGATCAATTCACAGTGCTCTCATGATGTAGAAAGAGGTACTACAACCACTAACATTATGACACTGTGTGACTAACATGATCACAGGTAGAGGGAAAAACTCCACCTTTCAGTCATGTGAGCTCTTTGAACCACTCATAAAAGGAAAACCAGTGCCTGTCTTGTGAGCCTACCTGCACTTAGTGCACATCCCTAGGGTTGCTGGGAAGAAGACCCAAACCTAATGGCTAGGTTCAGAGGAGATGAGGTGGGTTCCTCTGTCCTCAAAGCCTTCCCAGTGCCCTCCCTTTTTGTGCATTCCTTGTATTGGCTTCTTGGTCTTCACATTTGCTCAACCTTACCCAGCAGTGACAGAAAACAGGAGGTGGCTCTCACCTCATCCCTGAAGAAGGGAACCAGTAAGAGAAACACAACTTATATCTATCTTTACTATTAAATAAAATTAATTAGAAATATAATTCTTTGAGGTCCCTCAGAACATGCAGATTTACAAGACAGATTAGTTAGCGATGGGGGTTTTTTATCTTAAACTGGGCAAGATGCTTTGATTGGTTCCAACATTTTAAAGCAGTAGCTGTGCCCTCTCATGGCCAAGTCAACTATCATTCCTGCAGTTCTGTGCACTAGAAATATCCTTCTGGATTTAAGGAAGACACTGCTGGGGAAGCAAAGCAGAGTTGCTGCTCTTGCAGCATGGGACCCAGTGCTAGAGGCACTGAGCCTGGGCCTTGGCTGGAGAATCTGGCACAGCTGAGATCAGCCAGAATATGCTATGGAAATCCAAATATAGCTTCACAGGCTAAATGAAAGTACACTGTGATATACCTTCCCTTCTTTCTATTATTACTGCTTGTCATTGTTGTGTAATTTTAACAAGACTTCAACTACTTTATGCCATTAAACTATTCAAAAGCTTCGTTTATGGTACATCAAGTACCAACACAGCAACACTGCTCTGGTCAGCCTTGGAAAAGGTGTTTTCACCAGTCCCTGTTGTCTTCAGGAGAATGAACCAAATACTGTTGAGTTTAGAGATGTCATTTCATGCAAATATGTGGACATATGAACAGGAAAAACATTGGAGGAGGTGTGTAAAAATTTGCTAAAATTTTTTTTTCACCTTTCCAGAGTGAACCCTGCAATATCCAATTTCACTTACAGTGGTCTTAGAACTAAGTTTTCTCCTGAAATAAAAGAAAGAACAGTGAAAATACCCACTTGTATAGCTGTAATGCAGTGCTGGATAGACACGCTGTGGGGTAAGTAGCATTAAAAGCAAGCCACAGCAGAGTCAGATGATATTAGCAAGTTTCTACAAAAAACAAAAAAAAAAAAAAAAAAAACCCCACCCAAAACAAAACCCCAAACAATAGATTGTGGGGAGTAATGATATGGCAGTTTTAATAGCTGTTGATTCCAAGATCCCTGTACACAAAGCAGCAATACGAGTTATCCAGACAATATGTACTCAGACTCTGTTATTTGCAACAGAGAGTATCAATGATGTACATACCTAAAGGTCACAAACAGAAAATCAGATATCCAGGCATGGCAACATCAACGAGTTTAAATTCAGTTTCAGCCTCCCTAAATACAATAAGCAGTAGTCTAAGATGAATGGAAAATGGTCAGTAATGTTATTACACTTAGACAATAGGAAATT